CACATCTAAAAAATATTTTTTTTTTATTGCTTAGATGGGTGTACGAGCTCACAGCCCACCTGGTGTTAAGTGGTTACTGGAGCCGATAGACATCTACAACGTAAATGCGCCACCCACCTTGAGATATAAGTTCTAAGGTCTCAAGTATAGTTACAACGGCTGCCCCACCCTTCAAACCGAAACGCATTACTGCTTCACGGCAGAAATAAGCAAGGCGGTGGTACCTACCCGCGCGGACTCACAAGAGGTCCTACCACCAGTAATTACGCAAATTATAATTTTGCGGGTTTGATTTTTATTACACGAGGTTATTCCTTCACCGTGGAAGTCAATCGTGAACATTTGTTAAGTACATATTTCATTAGAAAAATTGGTACCCGCATGCGAGATTCGAACACCGGTGCATCGCTCAACACGAATGCACCGGACGTCTTATCCTTTAGGCCACGACGACTTTTAATCTGTTCACTAAAAACAATTTCTACAGTTGGAGAACACTATAAGTGTATAAATTAACAAGCAAATCAAAATTTGAAGTCTCCTTTTTTAATTATCTTTTATACACCCTTTATTGTGTTTGTTTTAGTAATCTAATATTTATTTATTGATTAAGTCTGTCTCTGACCTAATCTCGGCCTGTAGAGAGAGCCTCTCACGAAATCTAATATTGACGAGAAAGAGCTCTCTGAACGGAGAATCGAAAATTAATTGATTGCGGAGTTCGGATTTTAGAATTTAGTGCTTCTAATTTTAAATAGAATGAAGCCAAAAAAATGTAGGTTTTTTTTTTAAGCTAGTTCCACTGAAGATTGACAATTATTTTTTATTTATTGACTTAGATGAAGCTTAGGGGCACATGTTTCTTTTAGTGTCACGTGGTTACAGAAGCCTATACAAATAGCGAAATGTTAGCTTCCCTACTCTTCAGGTGGAAAACACGAACTATATAGCAGGGTAGTTTTTTTTTAAAGCAAGGTATCCATTATAGGGTAACCGGCCGATGGGGAATCGGACAGAGCTATGTCGGACTCCGACTCAAAAGGGAATAAGCCTTGAGAATAGAGCGCGAAATGGTGCGGACCACATGACTGCCCCACACAACCATTAAGTATTAGTAAAGTAGTAATAATAATATAACTCTTTGTTTGACGCACAATGTATCCGCAATGTATCATCCGGCTAAGCATCCGGCTATGGAATGAGCTCCCCTCCACGGTGTTTCCCGAGCGCTATGACATGTCCTTCTTCAAACGAGGCTTGTGGAGAGTATTAAGAGGCAGGCAGCGGATGGGCTCTGCTCCTGGCATTGCTGAAGTCCATGGGCGACGGTAACCACTCACCATCTACGTGTACCTCGTGTACGAGCACCACCACCACTCTACAAGGGCAATAAAAAAAAAGCATATAACACAAATAATAGATGGGGCATAAATTGACGGCCTTATCGCTGAAAGCGATCTCTTCCAGGCAACCTTGCAGGGAAAGGAATAAGCAAACTAGCATGGACGGTGCTATATCTTCATAAATTTACATAAAAATATATACTTATATACACATGTGAAAGATAAATACATAAAAATAAATACTAAAAGTTACCGGAGCTCATAGATATCACAACGTGAATGTCTCCACACAACTTGAAACATGAGATCGAAGTCTGCTTTGTACTCGATTATTTCAGTTACACCCTTCAAATTGAACACATCACTGCCTTAAGTTTTAAAAAGGCAGAATTTATTTAAAGAAATCATAAATATTTATCGTTGAAGTTCGCATTTCTTGAATTATCGCCTGGCGGATGTTTATTTTCTGTGATCTTTAACACCACTAGCTATCCGGTATTCTGGTATTAGTATAAAACGCCGTGGAATGAAGTTCAACATTTTCCTTAGAAACAAAGTTTCGCTAGTCCTGTTTCTTAGACAAAAATAACATCAAATTTGTCAAAGTGATATCTACGTATTTTGTTTTTTTTATTGTATGAAATTTATTGATTGGTCATAAATTTTGTTATCAGTTCAGTAGTACATGTAACATTAATAATACTAGAACGTGTGTGAGCTTAATGATTGTAATTAAATGTTTGAAAACTGAAACCATATCTATACTAATATATAAATCTACAGTGGTTTTTACGGATGTTCCGTTATAACTACTGAACCATGCATCCGATTGACTTGAAACTTGATATCCATGTAGAAAATAGATGTACTTAATGGATAGGCTAATATTTGTATGACTGTTGGACTCCCTAATAATAATGACAATAAATAATAAAGTTAACTTTAAATTCCCAGCGAAGCGGGCGAGTACGGCTAGTTAATATATATTAAAGAGAATATAACGGGAGCAAATAAAATAGGAAGGAATTGACCTGAAAATTTTCACAACAATCGACTTATACGTCACTGTCACGTGTCACGTGGCTTAACTGTACAGCTGTTTCTGACGTTATTCATACAGGGTGTCACGAAATTATCGAAGCCACAACGTGGATAAACTATAATTCTAACGTGAATGAAAATTAGCTCACATTTTTGAGCATAAATATATTATTTTGATCCGTAATGTAACGCAAAGTTAACTTAAGTGATTTTAAATTGTGTTACATTGCGTGCTGTGCAAAGAACATTAGTACATCGTAATTATTCGAAAATGTATTTGTAATCATCTCTCGAGTTTTGCAATCGGATTTCTTTATCGGGAAAGGGTACGTGTAGTATGTGTGTGTGTATGAATGTATACCGATGTAACTCCATAATCACTACATAGTATAAAACAAAGTCGCTTTCTCTGTCCCTATATCTGTCTGTCCTTATGTATGCTTAAATCTTTAAAACTACGCGACGGATTTTGATGCGGTTTTTTTTAATAGATAGAGTGATTGAAGAGGAAGGTTTATATGTATAATAACATCCATTAAACAGTGGAGAAATCAATAATAAATTACAGTTTCCGAAGCGAAGCGAGGGCGAGTCGCTAGTCTAATTATAAATACGAAAGGGAATTTCTACTCAACCAATCATCATATGTATTGCATACACGTTAACTGGGGTCCGAAATGGAGTCGGTATCTTTCATCCAAAAACCAAAAATTCCAGGCTTATACTTGTATATACCTACTAGATGTTTTTTATTTATTTATTTATTTTTTATTGCCTTTGTAGGCAGACGAGCATACGGCCCACCTGATGGTGAGTGGTTACCGTCGCTCATGGACTTCAGCAATGCCAGGGGCAGAGCCAAGCCGCTGCCTACCGCTAAAACGTGGTTTTGCCATATAAATTATTTCTAGGAAAGATAAATAACCCAGATACCAACTGCAGCGCCATCTGCCGGGCCGATTTGTAAGTTTAAACCATCTCGAATCCACCTACCTGAAGGTACACAGAAAATTTAAATTTCATTAAAATCGGTCCAGCCGTTTAGGAGGAGCTCAGTGACAAACACACGCACAGAAGAAATATATTTCCAAATTTTAACGCGAAGCCGCTTCCAAAGCCGTGTTAGAGATATGAGAGAAAGTTATTTTTGGAAAGGATCAAAAGTCTAGTAATTTTACTGAATGCACAATCTAATTAACATTTTGCTTTGTAATATTAAAAAATACTTTTCGGTTTTAATAAATAAACATAATCAACATAAACATAATAAACATAAAAACATTATCTTTTCTTTCGTATGACAATTAATTATGATAATGTTACAGTATTTAGGTATTCATTGTTGTTTCAATTTGTTTCTGAAATTGTAAAATAAATCGAAACGCCCGTTCGAAATTCGATTTAGTCTCTGTCGGTCTTAATAGTATTCAGATTTCAGTAGATTCAGAATAATTTGGCATCCTATTTGAATTTTTTTACAATTTACACAATCCTCTGTTGTTGTGGCCACAAAAAAATTGCAACAAAATGAAAATTATAATTTGCGTAATTACTGGTGGTAGGACCTCTTGCGAGTGCGCACGGGTAGATGAGTGGACGAGCTCACAGCCCACCTGGTGTTGAGTGGTTACTGGAGCCCATAGACATTTACGACGTAAATGCGCCGCCCACCTTGAGATATAAGTTCTAAGGTCTCAAGTATAGTTACAAAGGCTGCCCCACCCTTCAAACCGAAACGCATTACTGCTTCACGGCAGAAATAGGCAGGGTGGTGGTACCCACCCGCGCGGACTCACAAGAGGTCCTACCACCAGTAATTACGCAAATTATAATTTTGCGGGTTTCATTTTTATTACACGATGTTATTCCTTCACCGTGGAAGTCAATCGTGAACATTTGTTGAGTACGTATTTCATTNAGAGCAATTAAGGGAAAAGTTACTTTATTTGTTGCACCTTAAGATTGATTTAACATTAAAAGTTGTTTAAAATATGTCTTTTTATTGGTAAGTGACAGGAGTAATTTATTGCTTTGCTCGTTTTATGTGACGAATGATCGTAAGTATTAGATAATGTTTTGGAGATTTGTGACTTTATTACTAGGTGCCATAGTTGTTATTTGTTTGAAAGTAAAAGTGTTTCAAAACTTTTTTCTCCGTTTGTTAGTAAACGAATGTAGCTATATAAGTATATATTCACGCGGACAGTTTTTGCTTTAATTTTGTTCGTATCCCTTTATCTAGTTACTATTGTTGATCGAAGGTTGACACCAAGTGGGCTGTGAGCTCGTCCACCCATCTAAGCAATAAAAAAAAAACCGAGAAGCTGTGCACACATGTATGATACCGCGTTACTGGAAATAATAATATCAAGAATAAATAAATGTTGATTTTTTTATTATGAAATAATTTGATGATAATGATAAATTTGACTATGAAAATTTTATATCATTACGTATTGATAGGTAGTTCCAATTTTTTTGTGGTCGATTAACATACACTCATACAAATATAGATGTTTCCGTATTCCGTGAGAAAAATGTTTTGTTTTTTTTTGAAACAAATTATAATCATTAAATTTAATTATGTAAAACAGGTTTTGAAGACACTGGCTTAACTTCGAAGGTGAAACAGTTAAAATTAATAATTGCAAAATCCCACCGTGTACAATGTGAGCGAACTAGTGGTATTTGGTATTTTGAGCATGAAAAGAGTAATGGAGAGGACTATGTACACAGTTTTTTGCGAGATCAAATTAAGAATGAGAAGATTCGCATGAGGATCAAGATAACAGGCATACGTTGGGAGATTGAAGTGGCAGTGAGCAGGGTACATTTCTCGTAGAACAGAAGGCAGCTGTGGTTCTCGAGGGGTGCACGCGTACTAAGATGTAGCGCGGGTAGGTCTCTCACAACTTTTGTCATATTACTGGGTTCAGGCAACGTATGACCCGTCTCTGTGGTGAGGCTTGGGGTGACTCTCTCGCTGCGAGAGAAGGTATGCACAAGTACGTGTCACCAACTTTCTGCCACGAAGTGGTGCGCCATCCAGCTTGAAGGGAGAAACAGATGCTATAAAATATAATAAACTTTAACCACTTATTTCTAGATGTGTTGACTTTGAAGTCGTCGTGGCCTAAAGGATAAGACGCCCGGTGCAATCGTATCAAGCGATGCAACGATGTTCGAATCCCGCAGGCAGGTACCAATTTTTCTAATGAAATACGTACTTAACAATTGTTCACGATTGACTTCTACAGTGAAGGAATAGCATCGTGTAATAAAAATTAAACCCGCAAAATTATAATTTGCGTAATTACTGGCGGTAGGACATCTTGAGTCCGCACGGGTAGGTAGGGTAGGTACCACTACCCTGCCTATTGCTACCGTGAAGCAGTAATGCGTTTCGGTTTGAAGGGTGGGACAGCCGTTGTACTGTTCGTGAGACCTTAGAACTCATATCTCAAGTTGGGTGGCGGCATTTACGTTATAGATGTCTGTGGACTCCGGTAACCACTTATTTTACTCATATATTAAAAACATTACATACACTGTCATGTATTTGACACGCACACGCATGCATACTATTTGTTTATTGTCAAACTTTTACTTTTGCTTATCAGTCTGTGGTCAAATTGAAAATAGATTATCAATGTTTTTCTAAAGCCGAATTGTTTGTCTTGGCGAGATCTTAATTATAGAAATATTGTAAGTTGTCTTTGACAATACCTAGAATCATAATTACTTATAATTTCTAAAACTTATAATTTCAATTAATTATAGTCGAATTTCGAGTACCAGGGACCACTAAGTACATTAGTAAAAGTTGGCGTGTAGACAAAAAGTAGACGTGGTGGTATGTCGGCATGTTTAAAACATTGGTTGGAAATGATTTGTCGTAGGTTGGGTAGGGCAGGGTCTGCGCACAATGAGAGCTATAATTTTACGTTCCTTTTAAGGATTTATATTTTTACGTTACTCGACGTAACATAACAGTTTTTTAAATTGTATTTTAAAATATAGCATTAGCCTTGTTTTCGTAGCAAAATTAGTTAAGCCCTTAAAATGTTCTCCATCTCAAAAAACAATATCCATTATTTAAGACCGGTGAAAATCGAATAAATAAAATGGATCCAAAGAAAATGTAAAGATCTTGGATCGAATAAATAAATAAATAATGCAGACAGATATACAAAAAAACCAATTCGCTAACGTGAAAATAAATTTACAAATCAGCCTGTACTTCGAATTGAAAGGCATATATTTGAAAGTTAGTTATTTGCATTGTTTTACTTCGTTTGAATTACCATGTACATTGTATCAGTATTCATTTATTTATTAAATGTATTAAAATGAAGGATATATGAGCCAACAGATCTCTAGGCAATGTTAGATTTAAAAGTGGATAGAGATAAAAAAGGAGGTCACTTCAAAGTAAATTGCGTCACCTGACAATAAGACTTAGAATGTGACGATATCCTTATATCCCCCTTGTCCCTTGGACAAGGAATACATTTTAACCGCATCGAATTAGTAAAATTTGGTTAAGTTCACCTCGTGTTCAAGAATGCTGAGTGAAAACCTTTTTTTTTTATTGCTTAGATGGGTGGATGCGCTCACAGCCCACCTAGTGTTAAGTGGTTAATGGAGCCCACAAACATCTACAAAGTAAATGCGCCACCCACCTTGAGATATAAGTTCTAAGGTCTCAGTATAGTTACAACGGCTGCCCCACCCTTCAAACCGAAACGCATTACTGCTTCAGGGCAGAAATAGGCGGGCTTGGACCTTGGTTATTTCCTGGTGGTATTGTGAAATCATGCCTACTTCGGGTACAAAAAAATCTCCATTTTCCGATTTGAACGGTAGAACTGTCGTCAGTACTTCAATGATTGAGAGTACAACTTCATGGTTCAAGATTAAAAAAAATTAGCGGTGGTAGGTCCGCGCGGGTAGGTATCACCACCCTGCCTATTTCTGCCGTGAAGCAGTAATGCGTTTTGGTTTGAAGGGTGGGGCAGCTGTTGTAATGCTTGAGACCCTAGAACTTATATCTCAAGGTGGGTGGTGCATTTACGTTGTAGATGTCTATGGGCTCCAGTAGCCACTTAACAAGGGGGGGGTGCGAGCTCGTCCACTCATCTAAGCAATAAAAAATAAATTTATCCATAACAGTCCCAGATAATCGCAAGGAAATGTTGTAGGTGTGCCACCATCACATGGATTCTATTTTGATTATTATTCAAGTAAAGCTAAGTTACAAACAGAAAACGCTCAACGTCACACATATCAATCAGTTTGGCGTGATTCATCAGTAGTGAAGAGAAAGTCGTGATTGACTTGTTACGAATGTCTTTGCGGAAAACAAGCAAGTTTATTATGGGATTTATTGACTTGGCCATTTTTTACCATTTCACTAATGTTTTGTGTAAGATGAATAGACGAGTTTATAGTCTACCTATTTTTAAGTGTATAGACTTAATACCTATTCCAAAATGAATATTAGGGACTCCTTGAGACGAAAGGTCTTATTAGTGTTTTAGAATACAAGGAATCCTTAATGTAATGGAGGACGTTGTATTTTAGATCCTTTTTAAAATATCTTTACTGGTGCAGCTCACAATATTCTCACAATTTGTCGTGTTCAATAAATACACATTAAAATCTTTGTCAGATACCTTTGGTCTGTTCAAGTCTATTGTATATTTTTTTGATCAACACAAAAATCAGGGTACCAAAATTAAAATTAAAACGTTGCAAATCAATCGACTCAGGAGTCGACTGAATACATGTTTCGCTTCCAAAAGGATTCACTCAGTTGTGCACTGCGCATGATCCAGAGCTTAACATAGAAAGAAATGTTATTCTAAAAAAATATAAAGTATATTTATTTTCAAATAAATCTTTGCTTGCGAGTATACCAGAATATTCCCATCAGCGCCAGTTAGTACTGTATCGTTTATAACAAAGCATTTCAATTAGGCGCAAGTGGGTGTTTAGAATATATCCGATAGCTCTAAGTATATATGTGTGAGTTTCTCTATTGATGCGTATTGAGTTTCGGTGGTGTCAATTAAAATGGAGTCTTCTGAGCATTTCGTGACTTTCTTTGGATTAACTCTACTATATTCACAACTTGGTGAGTTTGGTATTTTTTAGATACTGCTAGATCGAATAGAATTTCCAAGGTGATGAGAATTTCAGTTGGAAGTACTATAAATAATGTTTTGAAGCTGTTAAGTTCAGTTTAATTTGTAAGCTTTATTAAAGAAAATCTGTAGTTCTTTTCTAAAAAAACCATTAAGGAAATTGTTTTTTTAAAACTGTATGATTAGTAGTATTCGATAATTAATTGTATTATTAACCGTGTATGATTAGTATTGGGTTTTGTTTGATTTTATTATTACTAGTTACAATACTGTTACTAAATAGTAGCATTACATGTTCACTCGAAGTTAAAGCAATATTATCCTCGGTACCTTAAATTATTTTAATGAAATAAAACTTTAATTCTTGCAGCGTACGGTCTAGATTTCTCCAATTTCCCAACTTTGGAAGAGTTCCTCAAGGAGCCCATGGTAAACGATGATAGAATCGTGGGGGGACAGGAGGCCTTCATCGATGATTACCCCCACCAAGTATCGTTTGTGGTGAACAATACGTATTTTTGCGGCGGCTCGATCATCAGCGAGAACTGGATATTGACTGCAGCCCATTGCTCTCAGAAGTAAGAACCTTATAAATGTATTCCTAACAAAACCGGCAGTAGTTCTACTTAGAAAAAAAAGGTCCTGGAATTGCTGCACTATCTACCTCTAATATTAAATCTAAAGCATCCTAGGACGTGTATACACGATATACAGTAATCCCCTATATAACGCGGTAGATTGGTTTCGCGTTATACGAAACGCGTTGTAAGAGTATTGTCGCATAATGTGCTTGTGTGACCCCATATAGCGCATTATGTACAAATGTAATAAAATATAACCAATGTTTTTTCACATCAAGAACTAGGAACACAAATTAAATAAATTAATTTAATTTAATTTTATAACAACATAACTGACACAATGTGCAAAGGTACTCGAAATTAATTATGAATTGTAAAAATCATTATAAATTTCACAGTAGAGATATAGTATAACGTATGAAATCCCCGCGGTATGTGGGGGAATATCTGCGTTATACGAGGGACTGAAATCGCGTAATATGAAAATGCGTTATAAGAGTACCGTGCTATAAGGGTTTTACTGTACATTACAATAATTTACACAAATTTAAATTGTTCTCAGCACAAGATTAAAAAGTATAGATCAATTCACTTTGCATTAGGTTATAATAGTTACATTGGATTTATTTTTGCAGATCAGTGGAAGCTACATTTTATATTTTATTTCTAATTTACGGTAGAATATAAGGGTGCAAACTAGTCTTAAATAAAAATAAAAAAACGTGGGAATGTCTGTCTTAGAATGTGCTTTATGTTCATTTCACTTTATGTTCCGTTCATTGGTGGTAGGACCTCTTGTGAGTCCGCACGGGTAGGTACCACCGCCCCGCCTTTTTCTGCCGTGAAGCAGTAATGCGTTTCGGTTTGAAGGGTGGGGCAGCCGTTGTGACTATACTGAGACCTTAGAACTATATCTCAAGGTGTGTGGCGCATTTACGTTGTAGATGTCTATGGGCTCCAGTAACCACTTAACACCAGGTGGGCTGTGAGCTCGTCCACACATCTAAGCAATAAAAAAAAATAAAAAAAAACNCTACACGGTAGGCGAAGTGGGGGGTTTTAGGTTTTATTTCCGTTACGGAATTTCTTGATTCGGTCGTCGCGCTCAAAGCCCGCGGTAAAAGTTATGCAATAGCTTAACAATTATCAAACTTATGCATGTTCATATTTTTCAGCGTCGACCCCTCGACAGTGGTCTTAAGAGGTGGAAGTTCATGGCGGAAGAATGGTACTATCATTCCCATTGAAAAAGTGATAGCGCATCCAGAGTATGACAACCCTGCGTTCGACAAGGATGTCGCTGTTATGAAGACCAAAGAACCTATACAATTTAGTGACACAATGCAGCCTATAGGGCTACCTTCAATAGATAGAGCAATGAGAGGTGGAACGGAGGTGTCGGTCAGCGGGTGGGGACGTACTGAGGTAATTTCAAGCCTGTTTACCAATGGAAAGTTATTTTGATGCCGCGAAAGTTTCAATTACATTCCAGTATGCCAAATTTTATTTATTGTCTTCAAAGTTATGAGTGGTTTTTTTATTGATTGTGTAGGCAGACGATCATGCGGCCCGCCTGGTGGTAAGTGGTTACCTTCGCTCATGGATGTCAGTAATGCCAGGGGCAGAGCCAAGCCGCTGGCTACCGTAAGTCACAAACCGGGTACGGAATCTCCTTTTAAACCTATATACATGTATAGGCTTGTGTTTGTAGAAACCGAATAGAACCTGCGAGCCGTTGTAGATGTCTATGGGCTCCAGTAACCACTTAACACCAGGTGGGCTGTGAGCTTTTCCACACATCTAAGCAATAAAAAAACGGTCGGTAGCCCTTTATAACTAGTCAGGTCATAAGTATTGTCACACAGTAAAAACTTTTCTTTTAGAATGCTGGCCACAAAAAAGTTTATTGAATTCGAATTTCGAATTGTTCATGAAAATAAAAATGTATACTTTTAGAATTTTACTTATTTTTAAATATGGAGTGGACACTTAAAGAAGACCGTGTTGCAGTTATTGCGTTGCATCGTTGCGGTTACGCGCCAATTCAAATTTTTAACATACTGAAAAATTTTAATATAACCAAAAGATTCGTTTATTGTACCATCAAACGATACAATGAAGACTCTAGTGTAGATGACTGGTTGATGGATGAATGGTTACATAATGAATAAACTTGTTTCAATTATTTTACATTAAACATGTGACAGAATTTATGACCTGACTAGGTACAATACATTAAATACTTGGACGTCGTGTCTTAAAGTGGGTAGTGATACTCACGTTGTGAGTATGTTTGTAGGATGTATGTAGGCTCCTGTAACCACTTATTATCAAGTGGATTATAAGTTCGTACAGATATCAAGTGTTATAAAATATAAAAACTTCGACCTACAAGTATCTTGGTTGTTCTCCGATTATTATCTAACATTAAAAGTGGTTGACTGTATATGAAGTCGTAAAAGTTACAATTTACGAGCCGCCTAGTATATAATAAATCTAATAATACCAGCTTTGGCATGCGGCTTTATTCGCGTTAAGTTTGATTTTGTTTATTAATTTTGACTCAGAACAGGGTTTATTTTAGGACCTTGCTTTTGAGTAGTGTTGTATGTAATTCCATTAGGTCTTAATGCATACGTGTTCTAAGCATCATGGGAAAACCGTATTTTGTCTTTGCACATTTTAATGATAGGACTTCTTAATGCACAATTTTTTTCCGAGTTACTATAATTCCCTTTTTTCTGTTCCCGTCATGATATTACAATTTATTTATTGTCAGAGGCTTTGTTGTTTTCCAAGACGATTATTTACTTCGTGCTTTGGGAGTGACGGGTCTCCCTAATAGTTAGTTGCGGGTGCGGAAGGCCCATTCTCGGCGGTCCGTGCTCGAGTTCTGGTCGAGGCGGTTGGTCAACCCCACGTGGGGACTACGGATCATTGAGGCGATTTACCCGGTCTTTGATGACTGGGTGAATCGTGGCCGAGGACGCCTCACCTTCCGTCTGGTGCAGGTACTGACTGGGCACGGACGCTTTGGGAAGTGCCTGCGCGGGATAGGAGCTGGGCCGACGACAAGGTGCCACCATTGTAGACACGACTTGGACACGGCGGAGCATACGCTCGCTGTCTGCCCCGCTTGGGAGATGCAGCGCCTTGTCCTTGTCCTTGTCTCAAAGATAGGACCGGACTTGTCGCTGCCTGGCGTCGTGGCGTCGATGCTTGGCGGCGTCGAGTCCTGGAAGGCTATGCTTGACTTCTGCGAGTGCACCATCTCGCAGAAGGTGGCGGCAGGGCGAGTGAGGCAAAGCTTTCCTCACTACGCAGAAATCCGCCGCTGCCGGGCAGGGGGTCAGGACCGGGGTCCCGTCCGTAAGCCGGCCCCCTAAGAGCTTTGGGCTCCACCCGCTTTGTGCGGGGAGGACCCTAAGCGTGGGGCGGCGTGCTCGGCACGCTCGCCCTTAATACGAAACCAGTCGATGGTAGACCGCGTTCCCCCGACCGCTCCGGGGGAAGGTGTAGCGCGGCGCCATCAACGCGGGCTCTTGGCCCGTCGCCCGGGGGAACTGGCGGTCGTGTCGCTGGCGGCCGCCGGTCCGGCGTCTGTGGGACGGCGGGATGGATGTAATATGCTCTGCGTAAACCCTGTCTCGCCGTCTCAATAGCTCCGACTGGGTCCGGCCCGGTCCGGGGTAAGGCGCCGGCTGTGAACGGCAGGAGTTTTAGTGAAGTTATACTCCCACATCGTCACTCGCAAAAATTCATGATAATCCGTTGCGCAGTTTAGACTTGAAAACTTAACAAATCAACTTTTGCGTTCATAATTTTATATATGGATAATAAAATATCATTATATTTTTTATATTATAACTACGATTAACACAATACTCCATAACGCGTGTACGTAATTCTGCGACATGAGTATTAGAAAACGCTCACAACAATCCTACATTTTAAAACAATTGATGAAATTGCCAATAAATTTGATTTTAGTGGGCCCCAATTCGATTTAGCGCAGATTCGGTGGTGTGATATTTTCACTGAAGAATACCTGTATTATATACTTTAACTGGCTCTACTTATTGCTTTAAATATGTAGACACAGATTGTACTAAGCTCTTCGCGCTTGCCTGTCATTGAATAAGATATTTAGGATATTTAGATTGCGAATTTGTATTCATGTTGGCTTTATAGTTGAACAGCAGTAGGTATGTAAATTTCTGGTCTTACTCAGCATTTAAACGATAGGATAGGCAAATGTTTTCTACTTTACATACTTTTGAGTACTAATGATAATATTTGGTTAACAAATCAATACTAAAAGCTGATTTGACGACGTGCCAATATATAGGTTTCTGTTTCGATTTTTTTTAAGCTTATGCATAGATTTTATCACGGGCCTTGAGCGCGCCTTGAGAGCGGATTCGTGAAATTCCGTAACAAAAAAAACCTTCCACCCCTCACTACACGTACTATGTAGTATGTACTATGTAGCTCGCGTTCAATACATTCACATGTTGCGCTTGTGTAGTGTTTAAAATAAGAAATCTAAACTCCCATTTATTTACTATCAAAATAAGTGATATAATTTCGTGGGTAACACAACGATAGCGCGATTCAGCTTTTGCGTCAAGCGCCATCTATCGGTGACAAACAGAATTGTAAAATAGAAAATTCTATCACATTACAATGCGTTGGGCGTGCCATTTTCTATCGGTTAGTCGAAGAATTTTATTACTACTCCTACTACTCATTCAGTGACTGGAGTGGCATTAAAAATAAACTAGCTAAACCGTTGATTCTGGGCGAATGAGAGTTAGAACTAGCATCCAAAGGCGTGTCTCTATCCCATGTAGCGCCCTCTAGTGAGTGCGCGGTCAAAATGGAATACTCACAATGTAGCAGATTTATTGAAAGCTTTATAATTGCATAAGTCGATATGATAAAAAATGCTATGCAATAGCTTGACCGTGGCAGTCTCCGAGTGCCACACGTCTTTTTTTGTTTTTTTTTCGTTATCTACATGTAGTTTAAAAATGTTTTTGTTGCATTCCAGCAAGGAGCCGCTTCGATTCCCGAAAGACTGATGGACGTGCGTATACCAGTCGTGTCGTATCCGGAGTGTTTCCTGTCGTACTTTTCAGTCCTCACGAGGAACATGTGGTGCGGCGGGAACTTCTTCTTGGGTGGTCAGGGAACTTGCCAGGTCCGTTTACTCTTCTTCATTTCTTCTTTATTTCTTGTTTATTTCTTTTCTTATTCATTTTAGTTTAGAATTTTCGTAAATAATTAATTATATTAGATTTTGCGATTGCATGCAGCAGAGATGCGAATGTGGCGATGGATGTGAGGAGTAACGAGAATGGATAGAATACGGAATTAATATGTTAGAGGAAGTCTGAAACTGGCACCTGTGACACAGAAGCTGAGAAGTGCGCGTTTGGGATGGTATGGACATGTGATGAGACGAAATGAAAATAAGGTTGGTAAGAGAATATTAGCTATGAATGTGGAAGGATATAGAGGAAGAAGTAGACCTAAGAAGAAATGGATGGATTGCGTGAAAGACGATATGGGTAAGATGGGAGTGAACGAAGAAATGGTATATGATAGAAGAGTATGGAGGGAGAAAACATGTTGCACAGTCACACACATCCAATTATTTATTGTATTGTTTTTTACATAAACCACCTTTTCTCAACGCACTATAGTATTCAAAATAAACCTTCCTTCTTTCATTAGCTTCATACGCAGACGTGTCTTCATTGTAAGCGGTCATGGCTGCTCCTAAATATCATCAATATCACCGATTGATCTCACTTTCATTTTCTTTATTGAGCACTGTGAAATTTCTTTACAGAATGTTAATATAGTATTATACTAGCCGTACTCGCCCGCTTCGCTGGGAATTTAAAATTAACATTATTATTTAATTTTATTGTCATTATTATTAGGGAGTCCAACACTCATTTGAATATTAGCCTATCCATTAAGTTTTATACATGGATACCAAGTTTCAAGTCAATCGGATGCACAGTTCAGTAGTTATAACGGAACATCCGTAAAAACCACTGTAGATTTATATTAGTGTAGATTATGAGATTTCTCAGCAATGTTGACTGACTTGATTTGACGTACTTCTTCCTTGACTTGACTGTACTCCTTGAGTGTCGTAATAACAATTGTGTTATCTTTGAGTCTTAGATGGAAAGTCTAGTATGTCCAGACCTTACTTCGTCAGAAGAGTTTATCACAAAATCCTTGTCATCTCTTTTCAGGGCGATTCTGGAGGATCAGCGATTCAAGACGGTATGGCAGTTGGCATCGTGTCTTTTGGACGTGGTTGTGGCCAGTCTTTCGCTCCAAGTGTGTTCGCCAATATTGCCGCACCTCCCATCAGGAACTTCATCAAAGAACACACAGATCTTTAATAGTGGTTAAATTTATGAAATTTTTGCACACTGTTCTTTAATGTAGTGTTTCTAGTATTTTAGATATCTTAGTTTAATTGACGGAAAGGTTTAAAATAAATCTTATTATTTATTCTTTTGTTTTGATGACTATTCACATGGCCATTAAGCTATAAATAAGTTTTTTTTTTGTCATAGAACTATTTTGTTTGTGCAAGGGCTTCAATAGTTTTAGAGTAGGATACAAAATATAATTTAATGTAGGTAAGTTGCAGTTAAGCATATCGAATTGAACGTGTTTATTATTAAAATTATTTTTAATGATGCAGTATATTTTATTCAAAGCCTAATTTACAAAATGTCAATATATTTTATTCAAAGTCCAATTTCAAAAAAAAGCTCGTAAAGTTGACGAGCCACATTCAAATAGCACCAAGCTATAACTTTTTTCTTGTATTATAGTTGCTTTTACACTTTTACATTTTTAATTCCATGAACGATAATTTCATGCGGCTACATTGATACCTGAGGTGGAAATCGCAATGATAAGTGCATAACGGCTGTGGTTTATACCGAAGATTGTAAGATAGATAAAAGATATACTTAGAAGAGAGGCAAAACTTGCATACGTTCCGTCATGGCCTATGTAAGTCTAGTGTTCACTCACACGACCCGTATGCAAATAAGCTTTCTCAGGGTCATCCAATTCTGCTTCTGCAGTATAACCATCGGAGCACCGTGGTACGTGTCACCCTTCACGACGATCTAAATTTAGAAGCGATACGTAAGTATCTTAAAGTAGCATCCGAACGCTACTTCGACAAAGCGGCGCGACACGAAAACCCTGTTATTGTGGCCGCCGCTAATTGCTTGTCCAACCCATGCGACGGGGCAACGCAAAGCCGCAATCGACCAGCGAACTAGACCATAGACACAGCCCACTGAGTTTCTTGCCTGATTTTCTCAGTAGGTAGCAATTCATATCTGGTGGTAAATTTTACGAATTTAATTTTTTTTGCTTGGGCTAGTATTTCTAGCAAATTCAGGTTGCTCAGCTGCAAGCTGCAGCAAGCTCAGGTTGACTCTCTGAGTTCACCAACCTGTCCGAGCGCAGCTAGAATAGCTTCTTTGACTACCAGCGAACAGGTAAGAAAAATGGGAGAGAGTAGTGGGTAATTCTGTATCCTAGCTGCAATGCTCTGAATAGCCTAAAGAAAGAAAAGGTGAACCATGCAGGGGGCAAAGGTCTGGAAGAAAACGAAAAAAGAAAAACTGGCGATTTTAAATTTTCATGGAATATTCTTTGTGATTCTTTTGAAATAGGTCTTACTGGTGGCAGAACTTCTTGTGAGTTGGCACGGGTAGGTACCACCATCCTGCCTATTTCAGCCGCGAAGCAATAATGCGTTTCAGTTTGAAGGGTGGGGCAGCCGGTATACTGAGACCTTAGAACTTATATCTCAAGGTGGGTGGCGTCATTTACGTGGTAGATGTCTATGGGCTCCGGTAACCGCTTAGCACCCAGGTGCTATATTATAAAAAAATCCCTAGAGATCAATCAACTTTGTATTAATGAATACACATGTGTTTCAAAGTTACTATGTCATATATTTCGGTTTATAAATTTAGTTTTAATCTTCAACAGAGCTTGTGTTTGAATGAAACGAATTTTGAAACTATTAAACATATTTCTAAACTTGAAAATAATTTATATAAATCCGTGTTAAAGTACACGATACATTAGCTAAAGTGCAAACATCATTTAATGTGAAATTTCTCTCTTAGTCTAGAAAAGCTGAGCTTTGATAAAAAGCTGTTAATATTTGTTAAAATGTGCCCGCTATTTTCTTTGAAATGATTTAAAAACAAATGTGCTTTTTTTTCAATTTTTCGTTAAAAGGGCAATCGAGTTACCAGCTATCATCGTTTTCGTAATATCGTAAAAACAATTTTCTGTTTTAATTATGAATGGCTTAGCAGAGGAACATTCTAATATTTTTGATTGTACAGAATAATAGTATTATCATATACTATTATTATAATTGGTTGTTCTTACACACGCAGACTCAAATTAAAGCATATTCTATTGATACCAATCAAACACAGATGTAGATGCTAATTTTGCAGCTGTAATTTTTACTATGAAAACCCATTCTTCGTGGAACGTTCTGCCGTAGAATAGGCTCAGCACTCGATGAGAACATAGAGAGATCTTCATAGGTTAGCCGGCGAACGCAACATAACAGAAATAACAGTCCACTTGGTGTTAACTGGTTTTCGGAGCCCATAAACTCCAAAACATTAATAGCCATTTTGCGACATGAGGTCTGAGTCCTGATTAAGTTGTATTTTTTAATTATTGCATAAAAGGTTGGAGGAGCTCACAGCCCACCTGGTGTTAAGTGGTTACCGGAACCCATATACATCTATAACGTTGTCCCACTAAATAACGTGGCAGAACTAAAAAAAGTGGTCTCACCAGCCCTCCTGCCGTCAGTAATCACGTATATAATAAAGATCCATAAGCTTCTATGCAATACCTAAAGGATAATTAGTCACAGGAGACTTTAGCGGCGTTTGCAGAAATGTATCCTTTGCGGTAGGACATTGAGGAATAAAGGAGACTTGTAATCACATCGGCGATAAAAACTAATGGCAATTATTTACATAATTTCTTCTTATCTCTAGTTATTTTGCAAATGAACATGCCAACGTTATATGGGTGCTAAAATTCAATGACAGTTGTCAATATATAGGCCTGTGAAACGTTACGTCTCTGACAAACGCGCTAAGAAAGATGATTACATTGAATATTATCATAGTGTTACTGGTTATGACTAGTGGTAAGTTTTATTTAATTTTTTTTAAAATAGGCATAGCAATTGTGAGTCCGCACGGGTAGGTACCACCACCCTGCTTATTTCTGCCGTGAAGCAGTAATGCGTTTCGGTTTGAAGGGTGGGGCAGCCGTTGTAACTATACTTGCGATCTTAGAACTTATATCTCAAGGTGGGTGGCGCATTTACGTTGTAGATGTCTATGAGCTCCAGTAACCACTTAACACCAGGTGGGCTGTGAGCTCGTCCACCCATCTAAGCAATAAAAGAAAAGTGAAGCAGTGCTAATGAAATTTTGATGTATATATTGCGGTAGCTAACAGAGAATAGGACAAACTTGTCAGGTCTGCCTACCTGCCCCTGGCATTGCTGACGTCCATGAGCGACGGTAACCGCTGACCATCAGGTGGGCCGTATGCTCGTCTGCCTGTTCGGGCAATAAAAAAAAAAACTTGAACGGCGTCAAAGAGATTTTCAATTGATATATTTTCATGCAAATAAATTTCTAACCGCAGTATTTCGACGGTCGATCCACTGAATAAAAACATTTGCTTGAAAAATATCCCCTTATCCAAATTAGTACCTTAAAATTTGAACGCTAAAACTGTATTAGTTAAGAGCTATTGTACAAATAAATAATAATAAATAAATAACTAGGAACAAAACACGCATGCGGCCCCAATTTAGTTTTTTTCTGTGTAACAGAGACTGATAAACATATTTATATATGTTTAAATATATACATAGATAATGAACACCTAAACAATGAGCAAACAAACCGGTTTGCCCGACACGGGAATCGAACCCACGACCCTCGGGTCCTGTCAGGTCCGCTAACTACTGTACCACCGAGTAATGACAATAATAAACGCGAAATGAAACAATAAACTTTTACTGTTAACGTTTTAACTTCTTAGTTTTAATTATGGCAATCAAAGAAAATACTACAGTTAAGAGCTGTTTTGTACATTACCACGCTAAATTCTAAATACTAGGTATAGTCGAAAGATAATCCCGATAGTAAAGTGACGACATAAATTAAAAACATGAAGTATTTCTTAAAGAGCTATCACATGTGTGTAATGTGAGTGGGCGCTCATGTGTGTGTATGTAATCTTAACAACGTGGTAGTTAGAAGAAAATCGCATAAATATCAGTTAGATGCATATTATGTTTTTTTTTTGCGTAGATGAGTGGACGAGCTCAAAGCCCACTTGGTGTTAAGTGGTTACTGGAGTCCATAGACATCTACGACGTAAATGCATCACCCACCTTGAGATATAAGTTCTAAGGTCTCAGTATAGTTAGAACGGCTGCCCCACCCTTCAAACTGAAACGCATTACTGCTTCACGGCAGAAATAGGCAGGGCGGTGGTACCGGCCCACGCGGAATCACACGAGGTCCTACCACCAGTAAACAAATATTCTGATTATTTATTCATTTACAAAAATCATTGCAAGTCCTAGTCTTTTCTTTGTTCACCAAATCAGTGAGCACGCTAGATCTGGTAACTCCTCGCGCCTCCGATCCAAAAACAACTTTATTTCAGTGCGTTATCAAATCAAATTAGCCACAAGACAATCTTGGGTAAAAATGGGTATTAAATCGCGGCCTCCACAGGCCGAGTGAAGTACCATTATGATTGTCAACGCGCTCCACTAAAGTTTTGGATTGGTCAATTGACCTCATATTACAATGCACATATTGATATTACTATAATATTATAAATTACAGCCAGTGCCGTCAAGGTCGGTACCTTCGATTTGTCCAGACTTGTTTTGAACGAGGAATTAGATGAAGACGAATCATTACTCGTAGATACGGCAGATAGTAGGATTGTGGGTGGACATGAAACTACTATTGAGGACCATCCTTATCAAGTGTCATTCATTGTCAACAACTCGTATTTTTGTGGTGGTATAATCTTAAGTCAAGATTGGATTATGACCGCCGCACATTGCGCTCAAAAGTAAGTAATGCATTTGAAATTTTAATATATTTACGAGTACTCTTGTTGTAAATCTTGTCAGAAATGTATTTACTTTGTTCGAGACGGTCCACTAGTCATTGCTAAAAGTAATATTAGGTCTATTTGCTTCTGTAATCTTTATCGAGCTGTTAAACATGTGAAAGGCTAAAGCGTGAAGAAAGCAGTTAGTTTCTAAAGGGTATAAAGGTCTAAAAATAGGCATAAAGGTCTCATGTTAATGAGAAATAAGAAAAATAATAGTTTAAAAAAAAGCAAAAAAAATACGCTTTAATAGAAAATCCAACTAAATTTTAATAAATTTGAATAAGTTTTCAGGATATTATCATAAATATTAATATCTTACTATTGATACCGTGCACCCCACGCTTTTTTTTACAATAAAATCATTTCTTCTTACAATATTTTTAATTCAAATTTATTAAAAAAAAATTTCTATTTTTTAGTTGGATTTTCTATAAAAGCGTTTTTTATTTTTATTTTTTAAACTATTATTTATTTTTCATTTTTTAGTTAAATTTCAAATTTTTCAATATTTTCTTTCAATTTTTCAAAAAATTCATCTGAATCATTCGGTAAGTTATCCTGGTAGTTAGTTTCCCTTCTTAATCACCAATTCTAACAACGACTTTCCTGAATACTTAAGCCAAAATGTTGTGTTGTACTTTCAGTGTCGACCCTACAACAGTGGTGCTCCGGGCTGGTAGCACCTTCCGGAAAAATGGCACCATAATACCAATAGCTTTAGTAGCTAGTCATCCAGAATACGACGACCCTGCTTTCGACAAAGACGTTGCTGTCATGAAAACAGTGAAACCCATGGAGTTTGGAGAGACAATGCAGCCGGTAGCACTGCCAGCTCTGGGGGCGAAGTTGGAGCCGAATTCTGAAATCGTAGTCAGTGGTTGGGGGAGGACAGTGGTAAATATAATTTTCTCTATTTAATATTTAAGTTGATAAAGCCAATTACAGTCCCTTTATGGATGTAGCTCGCCAAGGCGCAATCGTGATGGCCGATCATCTTAAGGGTTATTACCGAAGCTATTATTTAAATTATAATAGATCTATACATCTAATATACATCAAAATAGTAAAACATTTATTTATATTTTTCTATTTGATGTACATAATTACGATTTCAACGGTACTATCCCAACGGGTTTGCCGTTAGCGTTTTAAATCAACAAATATAAATGTGAAAATGAAATAGGGTAGGAAAATTAGATTAAAACCACGACCAGTGTAATTGAAGGGAATGAATAGTGCGGCCTCGTTGCGTATATTTACGAATTGCGTATTATGAGAATATTAAATTTAAATACAGATGGGATAAAAAGATAAAAGAAGATTGCGAAATGTGCCACGGATGAGTTTGTGAAATATAAAATGTTAATGGATGAAATGCATTCGGTAATGTTCGATGTAGACAGTGTATCTTGGATGTAGACAGTGTATCTCGGATGTAGACAATGAAGTATTCGAAATGACAATCGACCTATTAATTTTATTGTATCTTTGAAAGTGGTTCCTTGCTTTGAAATAAATTTGTTACCAGCAAGGTGCTCCAACGATACCAGATCGATTGATGAATGTGACTCTGGACGTGGTGTCGCACTTTAAATGCAACCTGAGCTATTATTTGGACCTCACTGATAACATGTGGTGTGCGGGAAATTTCTTTTTGGGTGGAAAAGGAACTTGCCAAGTAAGTTTTTGCTAAACTAAACTGATTATTTGAAGCAGTTCAACAGTGGTTCTGATTTGGACAGCAACAATTTTGTTTAATCCAACCGAGTCTGTGGTACTGGTGGTAGGACCTCTTGCGAGTCCGCACGGGTAGGTACCACCACCTCGCCTATTTTTGCCGTGAAGCAGTAATGCGTTTCGGTTTGAAGGGTGGGGCAGCCGTTGTAACTATACTTGAGACCTTAGAACTTATATCTCAAGGTGGGTGACGCATTTACGTTGTAGATGTCTATGGGCTCCAGTAAGCACTTAACAACAGGTGCTCTGTGAGCTCGTCAATCCATCTAAGCAATAAAAAAAATCAATAAAAAAGTCAAAAGATTTTGAAGTCTGATAAATAGCTGATATCACATGCTGCTCCAGTAGCTTATTACGGAAAATTATTTTGTCCCTTGGAAGAGGGCCGTTCGTTTAGTGGCGGTAGAGGGTAATAAAAGGCCGCACGGGTAGGTAGGAATCGGTTTGACAGGTGTGTTAGCATAGGGATGTAATGGGGCAAATTAACACCACACTGTCTCAAATGCCAACCCTACCTGCACGTGGTGCATCCTGCTGATTGACGAACAGGGCTCTGGTGACCGATAGATGGCGGAATAACCATCAACGAAAACCACTCGGTGCGGAAATCTCCTGGCCGGTAACGGGCAGCAGCATTACCGGTGCAAGGCACCGAGCACTGCGATCGCCAACNAGGTGTGTTAGCCGTCATAATATTTAATTGAGACTTAAACCTCATGTCTTTTTTTATTGTATTAATGGGTGGACGAGCTCACAGCCCACCTGGTGTTAAGTGGTTACCAAAGCCCATGGTCACCTACAACTTATGCCGCCACCCACCTTCAGACATGAGTTGTAAGGTCTCAGTTTTAACAGTACAAAAGCTGCCCCGCTCTTCAAACCGAAACGCATTGCTGCTTCACGACTGAAATAGGCAGGGTGGCGGTACATACCCTTGCTGACTCACAAGAGGTCCTACCAACTGTAATTATATTATACAAATTATAATTTTGCGGGTTTGATTTTTATAACACCATGCTATTCCTTCTCCGCGGAAGTCAATCATGAATATTTGGTATGTGCTTCATTAGAAAAATTGGTTATTAAATGTAAATCATATAATATTATGTATGTACCATTAATAAGTGTATGCTTCATTCTCACGCCGTATGTTTGTCCAAAAAAGTATTTTATGTATTGATAGTAAATATACATTCTATAGTGATGTTTTATGAGATTTGCTTTGATAGTGTAGACAAATTCGATTTGTATACAGTTGATTGTTAGATCAGTTTGGCGGCGCTCAGACGACGCGTCGCCTCTGGGGCATAGCTTACACGAAGTCTTAATTGGCAAAAATCAAATATCAGATAATTTTTTTAAAACAATATCAATACCGTACAGTATTAGGTAGGTAGGCAGCGACTTGGCTGTGTCCCTGGCGTTGCTGAAGTCCACAGGCGACGGTAACCACTCACCATTAGGTGGGTCGTGTGCTGCTCGTCTGCCTACAAGGGATAAAAAAGAAAAAAAAAACCATCGCCACTAAAACCGTATGTTCCTTTTATCTGCTACTTTAAAAACAAAACAAAAAACATTTCCAGGGTGATTCCGGTGGGGCAGCTGTACAGAATGGGACGGTCATGGGGATAGTGTCCTTCGGAAGAGGATGCGGTCAGCCTTTGTCACCAAGTGTATTTGCTGCCACGTATTCGCCGGCCAATTGGAATTTTATCAAGGAAACAACTGGCTTATTGCATTGATTAATTAAGACTTTCAATTAGTTTAACTTTTGTCTAGTGATTTTATGTGATGTCGAAATTTTATTTGTATAATAACATAAATTTAGTTCATGCTCAATGGCCTCGTGTTCTTTTTTAATTTTCAAATTCCCTAAGGTCGTTTTTAATTCACTATTTGTAACTAAAAGTAAACATTCACACTGACTCTAAAGAGCTTAGATTTTAATGGTTCTCATCAGGTTTCTTTTTTTGGTCTTATGATTTGAATGTAAATCTCTAGGAAGCTACAGACACCAAGTATTGTAATGTCACGATGTCATTTATCCAAAAATATCTTGAAATTTTCTCTACGCAGTATATGAATAAATGAGGACCGACCCAAGGGAAATTTAATGTTCTTTAATATAAATAAGCCTTTGATCTACTCCTTGGCAAATTCAGGGAAAATTACAATAATAGAATTGAAAGCTAACATTAGAATGATTATTACTTTATTTAAACAGCGGACCTGATAAATTATTTTTCTTGGAATTTCTTGATTAGTTAATTACTAAAAAAATAAAACGTACCAACATTTACATATCGTAATCAGACCAATAAATACAGTGGAACCGCATCTGGTATTGTCAAACCAATTGTCAAAAGTACTTATGAATATCAGATCCCCACTGAGATAGAGTTCGGAAATATAAAGCTGAGAGTATCGTATGCCTTTCATTCAAGATGCAGCGGGTTTGACACCAGCTCGTTCTCTTTTTCGAATGCTATTCTATTAGTACCCACTGGCTACTATTGAGAGGCTCTGTCAATAGCATTAGCAACTTTTNCTGGTATTGTCAAACCAATTGTCAAAAGTACTTATGAATATCAGATCCCCACTGAGATAGAGTTCGGAAATATAAAGCTGAGAGTATCGTATGCCTTTCATTCAAGATGCAGCGGGTTTGACACCAGCTCGTTCTCTTTTTCGAATGCTATTCTATTAGTACCCACTGGCTACTATTGAGAGGCTCTGTCAATAGCATTAGCAACTTTTCACTTCAAACCTTTTTTCCCTACCTATTTTTTGGTAGCTAAGAAGCTAGTTCAGCTCCGTCAGGGCGGATAGGTAAGCTCACGGGCTCAACCTGAGAGAATTTGCTAACAGTAAACCTAGTAAGAGCAGTGCTTCTATGGCTGTGTCTATGTGCTAATTAGCTCGTCCATGACGACGAAGAGTTCGACGAGAACCAAACTGTAGCTTGTCATTATGACATAGAAAATTCATTGGAGTTAAAATGAGTTCGAATCTGCCTAATTTTTTTTAGTACCGTAGAAAAGAAATTAAATAAAAATGAAAAGTTTGTTCGTTTGTTTTTTAAATAAAACTTCCTAACGCATATGTGCAAATTTCACCCCGTATTGATTAGCGTAAGCTGCAAACGAGCTCGCCCTCTACGTAATATAAAGCGGTTGTCTGACCCATTCTGTTGTGGTTTTTTAATCAAATTATGTGAGCAAAATAGAAATATAGAGGGAGAAAAACACATTTCAATTTCAATCAGCAATGTCAAGCACTCGGATGTGGGGCGTGCCGGTAAATTGAAATAGGTAGTTGAGGTGTATATTTAGGAAACGTTCTGAGAAAATTGTACGGTGACTAGGATCTTTGAGAAAATCTACGCATTAAAAATAAGTTGGAAGTTGACTTAAACGTTACAATCTTAACAAACATATATTCTTGAAAAATTCTCTCTCTCTCTCTTTCTTTTTACTATCAATTAACGATCGCACTGTGCCATCAAACAAGACATCATTCATATTCATATCTTCATTATAAGATCGGCGAGCTGATGAGATTACTCATAATACTGATATATCTATTTGGATTTCTAGAATTTTCTATTGTTTTTTATTAAATCATTCACAGACATCTAATAGTCAATAAAAATACAACCACTTAATAAAAACACAACATTCAATTTGTTACAGCCGGAAGATGACAGAGCTATAGTTTAAATTAATTACAACAGCGCAGAGGATGTTTTCGTTCTGAACCTTCATTTCTGATCTTATATTCATCGTGACTTGAGTTTTTAGTAACTTTGCACGTAATTTATCTGAATAGATTCTTAATCGTTTAGATCTGCGTTTCGTCCAACCGTACTATAATGAGAATTGCGAAACACGTTTGGACCAAACAAAATCCTTTTATATTGCTGTAGACAAGCAATCCAGCTAAAACTTAACGTAAAACCTAAAATTTGCTAAACCAAGATATCAGAGGTCGGTGCGGAGAATCTTTTGAGCAGGTCTGGGTTCGTTCTCTTGGCTGACCGAGGACACCCGGCGTATTCGTCAATTTCAGAAGGCAATAAAAACGAGCGAAATTTATATGAATTGAGAAACTAAAGCCCGTAATATCAATCATGATTTAAACTAAAATCGAAAGTTTAAGCGGTCGTTGACTATCAACTCGTACAGTCAAATTTTTTATTTTCTATTGAAGGATTACTGGTGACCCTTAGGCCTTTCCAGTTTCACCAGGACAGGTGGGCGAGTAAAGGCTCAGCCAGGAGGGGTGTCATTTGCTAACAGCTTCCCGAGCGCCTCCGAAGGAGACCTAACAACTCAAGAGCAATTGCTTCGCGAATTATGTCAAAATCTCCTTGAACTTGAAATAGCTCAAACTCCGAAGAGTTTGAGCTATCTCAAGTTTAGAAGAGTCACGAAAGAGCGATTAAGCCATGACTTGGATTTAAGGTGCTCTTTTCAAAATGGTCGCTCGAAATCAGCAGCTGTTGTTCGTGTCAAACTCAGTAAACACACAACTACAATAGTTAGACATATGCTTTCGCGCTTTTTGTAAATAATCGTGTGTTCTACAAAGTCATAGTATATTATTTTATTCTATCATCAATAGTTGGGTTACATTATTGGAGTTTTAATAAGGATCCCTGTTTTTTTTTTTAAATAAATTATAGCGCATGTCACTCAGGAATAGTGTAGCTTCCAAACAGTGAAAGAATTTTTTAAGTCGGTTCAGTAGTTTCAGAGCCTATTCAATACAAACAAACAAACAAGTCTTTCCTCTTTATAGTATTAGTATAGATAAGTACAATGAATATATAAAAAACAATAAAATGTTCATGTTTATTCAAAATGTATTCAGTCGACGCATTGTACTTTGTCTCTATTACCATGACTTCACAAAATTTAAGCACACACACAGATGATTATCTCAAAATTGCACGTTTCCATTTAAATAATTAGGTAGTTTTAATGGCAAATCATCTTTATTTTAAAATGACCTTCATTACTGGGTGGGTTGGCTATTTCATTTAGTAAAATAATAAATAAACGTAATACCACATATGGACGTATGATATATTGTTTACAAAAAAAAAAAAACTGTAGGTAGAACAAATAAAATTATTGAAATAATATATTTATTAATCAAAAGACCAATCAATGTTTTTTTGAGTTTTTACCACGGCAACACTGGTCGCGATTTGACGGCACCTTCGCGACTTGACATTTGTTATTTTTCTGCTTCACGGACGTTCTGGAGGGTAGAAGTAAGAAGAACCGTCTCTGTTGTGAAAAAGTGTCCGTTAAAATCTGCTAAATAAGGGTGGCGCTACAGTCGCAACCGGGTAAATTTTAAAAAAGGCGCTGAAAGTTATTAGATTAAGATAGAGAAATAAAAAAGAACGAAAGAACAGTAAGCACTACAAAATCACAAAAAGTATTTTATTTAAAGCTGATAAGAAAATATAATCGATGTCTCCACGTTTTACCACAGCAATAATTTTAGGTTATATTGACGAAATTAGTTTGGACCATGGATTTAATAAGCACCTACAACTTATTACTATAATACTAACTCTATGGTTTGAACTACGTAAACATGTGAGGTCTTGTATATTACACTGTTTACCTACTCTAGTTATTAAATATATTTTTCCTAACTCAGCATACTTCAATCTCATGCTCAATTCATATCATACCCTGTGCCTATGCTAGCGCCATTCTGGAGGATTTTTGAACTGTTATTGAGTGCTGAAAGTGGGACACTTTTTCAAGTTTTTCCCATATGAGATGGTTCTCCTTACTTCTACCATTCATAACGGACATATATATACACATGTGGTCGGTCTCGCAACGGTTTCGCCATCCATAATTTTCCTTACCCAAGCTCACTCTGAAGCCTTCTTCCTAAGTGATGCGGCGTGATTCGACGAGGTCATCGGTTCCCGAGAGTGATAAGCCAATATTTGTTAAGAAAATAAACACGGCACTGCGGATCGTGGCACATGTTCAACGGGCACCTCGTGCTGGTTTCCGGAACCCTAGACTGCCACGAGGGGGCTGGTTTCAGATCCAACAACATTAATTATACGAGGACTACTATCGTCCGCCCGATAGGTGGAGTGCATACTTTAAATGACTTTCACAGCGCAGTTGAAAGTTTAGTGAAATTATTTTTTCATAGTTCATCAATCTTAATCAACTATAAGTTTCATTCTCAAGTTAGTTCATTGTTTTCTTCTTCAATCAAAAGACAGTGGTAGTGTTTGCCAAAGTTTGAAATTGTCGGCACTGAATTCTAGGCAAATTTTATTGTTTCTCTTTATTGTGTGTTGTTATTATAGTAGCTTAATTTATAATAATAATAAGATGATGAGACCACGTCGATGGTTGTTTAGGCTGCAAAATATATTTTACATTTCTATCATTGTCTTAGGCCTTACAGCCCAAGGTTAGCCTTAGTTTGTTCCAGTATGTCTCTCCAGACTGCTATGTTCAGCGCTTTCTCCTTCCAGTTCCTGACACCGATAACTTTGAGGTCGTGCTCTATGCCGTCTAACCTTCGGAGTTGTGGTCTGCCATGACTTCTGCGGCCCTCTGGTTTGCCGTAGAGCAGTTGTCTTGGCATTCTGGTCTTCTCTATTCGAATCACATGTCCTGCCCATAGTAGGCGTCCAATTTTTATATAAATAAAAAAATTACATTTCTATGGACAAACAGTAATTACACATAGTTTCCGAATGTTAAAAAGTCCCTTATATTTCGTTACGTTATGTGTCTAGGCCCCGGTAATCACCCTAAGGAAGTTATTACTAATTTTTCAGATCACCGATTTCGAAGCAGTCACACGTATAAAGTTTCCTGTTTCGTTCGAACACAAAAAGTATTTCATACAATTGAGCGTAGTGCGAGTACATTTGTGTAGAAAAGTTTTTGAGTACTTTTACTTTAGTTAGCAGATGCAACTCGTTTATTTCTGCTACGAAGCCATCACGTGTTCCGATTGGCTGGTGTACAACGCAATGGACTTTGACTTCATTGTGCTCAGTGCGAGTATTTGATCGTTATCGATAGCGTAAAAGTTAACTAAAGTTTTATTCAAATGGAACAGTGCCCCTACCGGCAATTGTAGGCAAACGTTCCAACTCCATACAAATTTGAGTTAGCTTTCATCCTACCAAGAATGTTAAAATACTCGAACTAAGTACACATGTCTCAAGGTAAGCAGCGTCATTCACGTTATGATGTTTCTCGTTTTCCAAAAACCAATTTTTTCCCTATCTAACTCAATGGGCTATGTCTATGGGTTAATTTACTCGTCGAGCCTTTCGTCACAAGCGACGGGTTCTCCGAGGACGGTGGCCGGTGCTTGAGGTACC